CTGATCTGTCTCTCCAAAAATCTCCTCCAGAGGCATCTGCGTCTGTGATGAAAAAGCTATGCTCCTTGTTCTTATCTAGAACCAAAACAAAGGACAAAATCTACAAGTGATCAGACTGACGAACAGGATAAAAAAATGTTCAAGAATTGGAGGCTGGGTAATTCTGTTTATTATAAGTTTTAGAGTGACTAATTTTAGAAGAAATAATCAGAGGTTCCAAACATTCTCCAAAAATGTGGCAACTATTCCGAGAGGAGAAAGGCGTCTAAGAACTGTAACATGTGTTTATATATCTGTGTATGTTTAGAGCGTTGACATCATTTAAATGGAAAAAGGTATGCTGAGCTTAGAAACAGTGTCAGTATTATTTGGAAAATTGCCATAGCTTGGAAACTACAGAAATGCTGCTCTTTCAAATAGAATCTGTAATCTTTTTTAAAAAAGCCTAAAAGTCAGTGGATGAAAACTCACAGAATGGTGGGGAGTGGGAGAGTGGGGAGGCTGGGTGTGGATTTCACAGAAATGGTTCAATGCAGGAAAGAAAAGCGGTGCTTCATTTTTCTTTTACCTGAAAAGGTGTTGTCATCCTTTGCAGACACAATAACTTGGTTATTTTCCTTAGTTTTCTGATTCTGTGTGGAGAAGAATTAGACACACAAATCAATGCCTGGATCAAACCATATGCTAATGTCAACAGTCAGCAGGAAGAAGCATCAATAAAAGTGACTCCATGGGGCCTCAGGAGACATCATTTTTTGATGATTATCTTCTCTGAATAGTTTCGTACATAAATATGTGCCTATGTCTACATGTATTTGCACTATCTTTTAGGAAATAATATAGATTAATTAAATATATGTGTATAATAGCCCCTGTAAATAAACACACCATGTTATTTGTCAAATTTACACTGTCTTGGGACAGATTCACTTCTCTCTAAAGTCCTTGAATGTGTTTCCTATGCACACTTCAGTGAACACTGAATGCCAGCCATTTAACTTTGATCTTTTAAGGGTCCCATATAGCACTTTCCAGTGGATGCAGATTGGTTTTGAATTAGGGGGTCTTGCTGAAGATTCTGTTCTGTCTTTTGTTTTACAAACAGAAGTTTGTAAAAGGACACATATCTTAAGATGTGTCTATCCTAGCTAACCCATGACTTAGTTAAAATAAAATTGAATTCAATTTTTAAAATCAATGTACTTTCAACTTTTTTTTTTTTTTTTGTCACGGCCAGAGGAGGCTCTGAACATAGAAAGGAAATGGGATAGGATTATTCCAGTTGCTCAGCTGTGGTCTCAGTGCTTTTTGGGGAAAGGGTTGTGCTGAGCTGGGGCAGTGGAGATTGTTGCATTAGAGGAAGGACTACTTCGATTACGGGGTCTTTTCTAACTTGTACAAGCAGGCAACTTAAGAGGGAACGGAGGCCCCAAAGCCTTGAAAACCTTTATTAGAAAGAGACCAGAAACCACATTTTTATGGAGGACCATGGCAGGAAAGAAGCCCTCCCAAACACACTGAATATTTCATTTCTGTGGGGAAATCTGGTGATTCATCTTTCCTGCGCATTTGTAACTGATTCTGCCTAAAGGTGCATTTAAATAATAATAATTAGCTTGAAGGAGCCTAAAGGGGATATTTACATCTTTGTAGGAGGGCTGCTCCTCCAGTGATGGATGGTGGACTGGGCTGCCCGGGCTGCTGCCGCCGACACTGCTCGCTTTCTGGGGGGCAAGGGGCGGGGGTGGGGGCGGAGGCAGGTCCGAGCTGCCGGGGTCCCCCAGTTTCCCATCTTCTTGCAGCAGCCTGGAGCTGTTCAGGGTTAGTGGAAAAGCACCAGTGGCGGTGGGCGCGCGGTCCCGGTTGCCTCCTTTCTCTGACAGGCCTCGGCCCTGTAGGAACCGGCCGCCGCCAACTAAGGGGTCCCCCAGTAAGACCCCCGTCTCCTCGTCTTCCTCCTCATCTTCTTCGGGGTCTCGCCCTTCCTCCTCCTCTTCTTCGCCCTCTGGGGGTTTGTGGCCCTCCACGTCCACCTCCTGTTCTTCTTCCTCGTCATCCTCATCCTCAGAGCTGTCCTCGCTGGGGTAGCTGCAGCTTGTGCCTCCGGGGGACAGAAGGCCTCGGTGGTGCGGCTGCGAGGCCAGCGGGGGCGGCGGCGGCGGGGGCGGCGGCGGGGCTGGATGGTGACGCTCAGAACCCGGCTCGTCGGGCTGCGGGGGCAGCAGCAGCAGCGGCGATGGGGGCTGCGTGGGGTGATGGTGGTGATGGTGGTGGGGGTGGTGATGATGGTGGTGGTGATGGGCTTGGGTCGAGTGCGGCGCGCCTGCCGACGCCCCGTGCAACTTGGCCAGGCTTTCGGCGTCGTCCTTGCCGCCTACCGGCCGGAAGGCGCTCGAATGGTGATAGCTACTGCCGCCCGCTTTGCGCCCCTCCAGAAGGTGCGGGTGGTGGGGCGCAGGCACCCGGGAGCCCGCCGGACCCGCTGCAGCGGACGCAGCCCCTGATCCCGGGGTGGTGCCCGGGTCTGCCGGCGGTGTGGAGCCCGCGCTGCAGTCTCCCCCGCTGCCGCCCGGGGGCGACTCGAAGAGAGTGTCGCGGGCGCCCCCGGTCCCTGAAGGAGGTGGTGGGCCAGAGCCTGGGCCGTTGGCTATCCCTGGAGGGGGCTGACCCGGTGGGGGAGCAGCCTCGGCGCTGCCCCCGGCGCCGCCGGGCTCAGCCAGGTCCAGGAAGGCCTGGCGCAGCAGGGCCGGGCTGTCCCCGAGCGCGCAGCCTAGCGCAGAAGGGGGCTGCGGTGGGGGCTGTAGGTAGGTAGGCACAGGGAGCCCACCGGGGGTCCGCGGAGGCCAGAACATGCAGAAGGGCGGGTAGAAGGCGTCCTTGCGGCCGGCGGGCCAGAACAGCCCGGATAAGCCGGCCTTGGGAGCTGCACCTGCGCTGCCCGCGCCCGCGGCCCCCAGGGCCTCCGCCGCAGCGCCCGAGTCCTCCTTTTTGTGGCACAAGCCAAAGGCAGCTGCAGCTGCTGGGAAGGTGTAAGGATGCGGAAAGAGCCCCCCGCAGCCCGGGAACTTCTGCAGTACACCCCCGAACGAGCCCTTGCTGGGCACTGGGATGACCGGGTAGCTGCGTGGGCCTTTGGCGCCAGCCGCCCCTCCTGCCCCTGCGCCGGCGCCAACGCCAACGCCGACGCCGGTCAT